AAATTCCAAATTTTCCCCTATGAAGTGATAACGACCAAATTCTGAGCCAATTCGAATATGCGGGTCTTATAAACGTCGCCCCGTATGAAATTCCCTATCAAAACACACGTAATGGTGTAATACCAATACAGCGTCATCACAGGTAGTCAATACTATCCACCTCAGATCATTCTCTCGCCCATGTGAAACGGCCGCGCCCTTTCTACTACCACATCCCTATACCGTATTTCTCCAGTCTCCGATGCGCTCACTAGGAGGTAATGCCTTGGCAGGAACTCCAAATGTGTAGTATTAAGATGATCCTTCAGGCAGTGTACCTCAGCAGCAGTAGCTGAGTCGTATATGTACCTAATACCAACCACAATTCCATCGGAACACACACAGAGACAACTCACGTGTATTTTCGCTGAGCCGCCGCAAACAGAGTGTGATCGTGTAAGAAGGCAACATCCAAAATGGGCTCGTCCAGCTGTTCCGAACACAGAGGGTTCATACTGTGTCGATCTATGACCTGGTCGCAAGCACATTTCCGTGGATAACTTCGTCAGTATTGGAATATATGCATAGATAGGAATAACACGGTTAATCTTGCTACAAAATATTACATAATAATAAAGTTTCACAACCCGTTTTACGTGAAGTGGTGTAAAACTCGGTGAAAAACGCGATATTCGTGGTGATATGCAGCAGTCGAGACATATGTTTTCCACTAGTGTTTTTCATATCACTAGGGTGGTGAAACTCCAATGTCTACACAGATAGTATTCACAATGGTAATATTAGATGTTTGTTGATTATAACAATAACCGATATTTTCGCTCTCCTCAACTGAGCTCACTGATTATAGGAGTTTATATACGAATTCGGGTAGTAGCAGTAGCGCAGAAAAACCAAAAAAATTTCCCAAAATTTTCATGTTGTCGCCAACACATGTAGTTGATCATGCGCATATTTTGCCATATTAGTACCGTAAACTGCCCACCGCGAGAGCCCACGACCATATACCGACCGTTGCTGCTTGTATTCACAGTGAACGGCCCTCCAGGGAGGTTGAAGTTGAACAGCTTACGTTGCGTACCAATATCAACCTGATGTCGGAATACACAACGTCCTCGGCAAAGCAGCAGTACCTGTGAGGCTAGTTCCTTCTGGGTGAGATTATAGGACTTGCGAACGCCATCGT